TCTTCACCATAGGTTACAAGGTATTGAATATGGTTCCCTGTGCTATCCAGTGTAGAATTTTTGTTTATCTATTTTATATATATTAGTACCTGCAAATCTTGAACTCCCAACTTTTACTTCCCACCCCCTTCCCCTACTGGTAACCATAATTTGTTTTCTATGTCTGTGAATCTGTTTCTGTTTTGTAAGAAAGTTCATAAGTTCATTTGTCTTTTTCTTTCTTTCTTCTAGATTCCACATATAAGTGATATCATATGGTATTTTTCTTTCTTTTTCTGGCTTGCTTCAATTAAAATGACATTCTCCAGGTCCTTCCATATTGCTGCAAATGGCATTATTTTATTATTTTTATGGTTGAGTAGTATTCCATTGTATAAATATACCACAGCTTCTTTATCCAGTCATCTGTCAATGGACATTTAGGTTGTTTCCATGTCTTGGCTCTTCTATATAGTGTTGCTATGAAAATAGGGTGCATGTGTCTTTTTGAATTAAGTTTCCCTCTGAATATATGCCCAGTAGTGGGATTGCTGGATCATATGGTAAGTCTATTTGTAGGTTTTTAAGGAATCTCTATATTGTTTTCCATAATGGCTGCACCAAACTACATTCCCACCAGCAGTGTAGGAGGGTTCCCCTTTCTCCACTTCCTCTCCAGCATTTATTGTCTGTGAACTTTTGAATAATGGCCATTTTGACTGGTGTGAAGTGATACCTCTTTGTGGCTTTGATTTGCATTTCTCTGATAGTGATTTTGAGCATTTTTTCATGTGTCTACTGGTCATTTGTATGTCTTCATTGGAGAATTTCTTGTTTAGGTGTTCTGCACATTTTTGGACTGGGTTGTATTTTTTTTTCTCATTAAGTTGTATGAGCTGTTTATATATTCTGGAGATTAAGCCCTTGTCAGTCTCATGTTTTGTAAATATTTTTTCCCATTCTGTATGTTGTCTTTTTGTTTTGCTTATGGTTTCTTTTGCAAAAGCTTATAGATTTAATTAGGTCCCATTTGTTTATTTTTGCTTTTATTTCTATTGTTTTATTTTTATTTTGTTTGTTTTATTTTATTTTTTATTGTATTTCTATTCTTTTATTTCTACATTCTGTTAACCTCTGTAGGAGAATTTTGCTGAGATTTGTGTTGGTTATGTTTGTGTATGGTGTGAGGGAGTATTCCAACTTCACTGATTTACATGCAGCTGTCCAGTTCTCCCAACAGCATTTGCTGAAGAGACTGTATTTATTCCACTGTGTGGTCTTGCCTCCTTTGTCAAAGATTAATTGACCAAAAGTTTGTGGGTTTATTTCTGTGCTCTCTATTCTATTCCATTGATTCATATGTCTATTTTTGTAGCACTGCCATGCTGTTTTGATTATTGTATCTCTGTAGTATTTTCTGAACTCTGGAAGGGTTATTCCCCCAGCTTTATTCTTTTTCTTCAGTATTGCTTTGGCAATTCTGGGTCTTTTATGATTCCATATAAATTTAAGGATTATTTGTTCTAGTTCTGTGGAAAATGTCCTGGGTAATTTTATAGGAATCACATTAAATCTGTAGATTACTTTGGATAGTATGGCCATTTTAACAATATTAATTCTTCCAATCTAAGAACATGGGGTATCTTTCTATTTCTATAAATCATCTCTAATTTCCTTGCTCAATGTTTTTGTAGTTCTCTGCATATAAATCTTTCACTTCCATGGTCCGATTTATTCCTAAGTATTTTATTTTATTTTTTTGATGCAATTTTAAAAGGGATTGATTCTTTACTTTCGTTTTCTGATATTGTGTTGTTAGTGTAAATAAATGTCACTGATTTCTGTATGTTAATCTTGTATCCTGCTACGTTGCCAAATTCTCTTATTAGCTTTAGTAGTTTTTGTGTAGAGCCTTTAGGGTTTTCTATATATAGTATCATGTCATCTGAATATAATGACAATTTTACCTCTTCTCTTCCAATTTGGATCCCTTTTGTTTCTTTTTCTTGTCTAATTGCTATGGCTAGGATTTCCAAGACTATATTGAATAGAAGTGG